TCCATGAACTAATGTTGCAAAGAAGTCGAGATGCACGAACGCGGAGTAGTTCCGAGTGACCCGAATCGAAGATGGAGTTATATGGGAAATTCACAACGGAGACATCAACTGGTCAAAACCTGACTCACAAGATGGCGTGTTAACGTGTGAAAACCGCAATTAATTAGAAGTAATTATTCGATTCATCTTACCGTACGCCCTTTGGACGAAATCAAACGTCCCAAATGGCCACTAAACCTCGAAGACCAACCCAGCCAGTGACTAGTGTCAAATCCAGGGAGGTGTGTGTGGTTAGTAAGCCTCTGCTCATATTGTTTGGAATCAGGTCACTGATAGGCTAGAAGTATTATAGCTAAAAGGTGGGCCATCGGACCATGATAATCGTTCATTAATTTCTAGCACCAACAATCAATAAATCGAAAATACCTCGACGAGGAATGTTTCCCGCATGAACGGCTAGGAAGGACAGACTGGAATGCTACCGGGCGCTTCCCCAGACTACGCATAGGAAAACAAGCTGCTACACTGGGTTCCAAACGACTGATGTGTTTAGTTAGGCTCCGACGTCTGTGCAACGCGAACAGTAGATTAACTTGTTCATCGTCCTGCGGTATATTTAAATAGACTGCAGTCCAGATATACTCAAGCACATATCCTACCAAAAACTAAACGACCTCTTGCATAGATCGAGCTGGGTCGATCTCGTGATTTTGGAGGCAATATAAGTGCGAAATTAGAGCGGCTATCTTCAAAAGAGGTGGACCACAGAGGTCCTTTGGGCCAAATTTCTTTCTGCTCGGAAAACGGGGAACGGCTGGTGGTGTTATGCGTTTACCAACGTCTGTTATCCGCCGGTGAGAAATTCAGACCCACCAATTGCCGATATGCCGCTTTAGGTTCGCCCGCTTATAGCAAGCAACAGCACTAGATCAACCATATCACTGCAAACAACAAACGGCGAAGCTTTATACGGGAATACATCACCAGCATGAGCATCATCGCACAGCGAAATACAACGAAGCGAATTTCACTGATCGCTGCCACTGAGCACTGCTCTCGAGTCCGATCACGCAGTAGTCTGCAATATGCTATCAATGAAGTTCGGTGAGCGTCACAAAACCAATGTTAAGATGATTAAGCTGTTCAAAACAGCTTGCCTGATCACCATGGAAAAAAGCTAGATGGACAGCTAGAAGTAACCACACCTGATAGCATCCATCGGCAATCGTCGCTCATCAAGAAAGATCTGTATTCCGCTGACTTAGTGAGTTGTGGTCTGATAGTGCATAAAAAACGGGAATTGCGCTGAGTCTCTGTGCATTCTTGATGCATACCGATCACGGTAGCTAGCATAATGGTAGCAGGAGGCGAAACAGGGCGCAGAAACCTCCAGATCTGGTAGTCTCGATGGACACGTAAAAGGAAAGGCGCTAGCACGACGGGAAATTCCCTAAAGCTGTTCCATTCTCATTAGGGTTATCAGTGGGAAAGCTTAGGTTGCGCGCAAAACGATTTGGGAAGCTGACAGTTCGTCTATTAAAAATGAACGTCGACGTCTTACACGCTGAGCGGAGTACTTTGAGGTACCGTTTAGCTGGCTATTATTAACAACTTGTCTCACAGCTATTCCGGCACACAACGTGGTCACCCTTGGCAGACCCACATTCTCAGGCAGAAATCCGTTGGAGCTGTGTTTAAAAAGGGTTTATGAAGCTTGTTAAGAAACTACAAGTGCGCTTCCCTAATGTCTGGGGCACGCCGCAGAACCTTTTTATCGTGGTGGGTATCGATTGTTGACCCAATATTAAAAGACTCAAGCAGTGATCGCACTAACAGCAGGAATATAAGCCTAACCTCAACAGTTTAGGGACTGTTAGTGTCCTTCATTCTTCGCAGATCGTACAAAAGGCATGAAGAGCAGACCAGCGAGGAGCTGCGTATCACGCTATTCGCGGAGACATCGACCAAATACTTACGTTCCCACAGTTGCACCATTACGCTTCCTAGAGATCAAAGATCATTGCTTTCCTAGAAATCAGCGGGAACTAGGATTATATAGATAGGAATGCATTGTGAAAGTTTGTGAAGAAATAGAGCACCTTAGAAGCACGTCTATCCTCAGGTCTAGTTGGGACTGATGGCCATCTGTCACCGCACTGCCGTCTACAGTAGAGTTCGACAAGGCTGTGTTATGACCCTAGTTCTTTTAAACTTTCTCGTAAATGATGTTCTACAGAGTGCCTTGTACAGTCTAGCAAGCGGGAGCTGAACTCATCCAAGTGCACAGTTCTAAATATAGAATGTGCTGATGACATCACGTTACTGGCTGACAGTGCATAGGTAGTCTAACATGCTTGGAACCGCTTGGAGATTGAGGTAGCTTGTTACAGTGTGCTTGACATCAGTCAAATGCAAAGCACTGATAGTAAACAGGCAGGAGTGTGTTTCCAATCATCCTCCGTGAACGACTTTTGCCAACCAGCGACATCCGTGGCGCTGTCATGACATCCGACTTTCCCTTAGGGGAAAGACGTACATCACCGCGACCTTGATATCTTGTTCTCCGTTTAGGAGACCTGGTCGCTCCACGCTGAGGATATTACCCAACTTTCTGTATTCGACCACCGATGCCCTCGAAGCATTGCTCGTGCTTAGTGTAAACAGCGGACGGGCAACGACGGGGTTCGTATTGCCTTTCGTTTCTTATTTGTTCCCGAATCCCTTCTTTAATATCATTGATGTCGCGTCGACACCATGTTTGTTCTCAAATCAATGAATATNATATATATATATATATATATATATATATATATATATATATGTGTATACATATACATGAAATGTTGTTGCAAAATGGTGGGGGAAAATCTTTGGTTGCCATACGCCATTAGGTCTGCTTAGGGTGTGTGGATCTAACGCAAATGGGAAGGGATATTTGAATATATATATACATATATATATATATATATAATATATTTAAATATATATATTATATATTGTATTAAGTATTTAAATAGGTAGAAAAGGAACTACAAGATGAAGATGATATTTTAGCTAAATAAAACGATGACTTACGGCTAATTCTACACCGAAAACACCAGAAGCATCCGGTATTTTGTCCTCATCGTGTTCGTCGCCACCCGCATCACCGTCCATACGACTGGAGAATTTGCCGCGACCAAAACCGCGATCAGTGAAATCGTTTCCATCTGGGCGCATTTCGGAATCTTCGTCTACCGGTCGTTCCTCGTCCGGTTCGTCTGTTTCATCTGCGGAGGCCTGGGGAGAACCATGCAGCGCATCCGGATCACGTTCTAAACGGAACCGGGAATGTCCACGGCCATGTGCTGAGCCAGATTTTGTGACCTTGGTACGGAGATCTGACGAGCCCACATAGGACAGACCAAGTCCGCCATAGGGTCGAAAACCCAAACGGTTCTTGATACCTATGCGATCTTGTAACGTCTGTTGAGTAATTTATTTGAAATTGAGAGATTATGTAATGCTCTATTAGATAACAAATTACAAACGGCACACAATGGTTGAAAAATAGCTGGCAACCATGAGAACCGACTTAGTAGCGATTGCAGATTTAGACAAAGCTTAAACTAGATACGCCGAAAAAAACTATGAGTGAATCACTTATGGGTAAAGGACCTCGATCACAGAAACCGTATCAAAAATCAATAGTTTACACTGCACTGTAACCCTGGTCAAAAAACTTGCAATTTCAACTACCACAGTAAACCCAGACGCTTACATTTTTAAGGACTTCATTAGTTAGGTTCCTTTTACTTGTTAGTTCAATTTGCATGAAAGCCTGAAACTCAGTTGATGTCACACTGACAAACTGGGGCACGCAACCATTGCCTGCAGTCGTGCTTCCTTAAAATGTAAGTCAAATGATTTAGGCTAAGAATAGATACAAATTTGGTGAGGCGAAATTGAATGTTACACACACACACACAGACAGAGAGAGAGAGAGCAAAGGTTAAAGTAGCTGTAAGCTTCAACCAGTGTAAGTTGCATTTAACAGTTCTTCTCTCAAACACCACATTATTTACCCCAATCTTTGTTGGGAATTCCGGTGCAAGAATTCAAGGGGGGGGGGGCGGGGAAATCGCAATGCACTAACTGTCAACAACTTTGATGATCTGATGTGTCTAACGTGACAAACATTAAAAACCGAAACAGACAAAAGATGACTGATAACCCCAGACAGTGGGCCAGAAATGATCCTCTAACGCAACAATTAAATGAGAACACAATCCCGCATGGATAGGAAATCTCACCTTCCCGCGAAAATCATATTTAATCGGCCGACCTGCCAATCGTTGTAAGACCGGTGGATTCAAGCTGAGCCGGATAAAGCGGTTGTACAGAATTGGTTCCGGACTGCGATAGGTCAACTCCGCCTCAGCTGGACATGAGAATTCCACCATAGCAGCATCAGCGAGGCCATTGAATCGTGGGATAATTTTTAACACCGTACCGAATTTTGCAAAGTGTTCCTGTAGTTGATCTTCATCATTTTGTTTCCAAGGTATTCGAGTAACGTACAACACGGACGGGAATGTAGTCATCTGATCTAGAGGTTTAAAATTGGATGTTGTATTACGATTTGCTCCCCAGGACTGTGATCCTTTTCCCGGTTCCGGACCGAGGCGTTCGGAAATTGGACTTGGAGTGTAAACTTGGGGTGGGTCATTAGCCACCGGGGTGGAAAAACTCCATGGGACATCGGTAGATGAAGGGGATCGATTACTGGGTCCAGAGATCATGGTGATCTGCGGTCGGCAGGGTTCGTAGGCCGGAGGAACAGCATCTGAAACAGGGACGGTCGCCGAGGACGTATCAGCAGATTCTTGAGTTACCTGTGTACTGGTCGGGTTGGTTTCACGCATTGGGATAGGAACCACATTATGTCGAATCGTTGTTGGGCGAGAAAAGTCGTTTGTAGTGGAATTATGCGCAGCAAATGTTTTAGGCAAGTTGAGAGTTGGCCAGGTGAAACCACTTATCATTGGGGGCGGGATGCTAAGAAGCGAAGGATTGAACGGGATCGCTTCAATTGGCGGGACAGGATTTGACACAGGTTGGTTAACTAGATAAAATTAGGGTTAAAAGAAAAAAAAGAATCCGTCAGCAAAAAGCTACCATTGAATTTCATTTTAGTGAACTTGAAAGGAAAACTGTATAAAAGACGAACTGTACCTGGGTACTGAATATATATATATATATATNTGAACGGGAACAACAAATGTGCGCATATGAGGTGATTCGGGAACTGTGGTTCAACAGTAGTGGCGTATCATGTGGTTAATCAGTGAGCCATTAGATGATTTAAACTATCTAATGCAATAATATATATGAAGTGTTCTATTAAGCGGTTCGAATAAACCATACAACGAACGTTGTCTTAGTGCACAAAATGATACAGTGTGTGCGCTCTACCGCTTACTGTGAATCTTTTGTCTTTAATTCGAAAAACAACCATGCACTTCGGTTGCTGTCTTGCAATCGACCATTCAGTTCAACGATAGATAAGCTAACCACTGAAAGATTAGATAAGAAAGATAGTAAGATAAAGAGTAGTTACATCAGCACTCTTTTTGCAACAATCAGTCGTATTACTGTCCCTAACTATCCCATAGATCATAAAGTTAGCTGGCATCGATATCCCCCACCCCACCCCCAAGCTGGAACCCCGAAACGACCCACATCCACAGTAAATGTTTTCAAAACCTAAACTACCTTTTACTTTCTTTTAATTACTGTCTGCTGCATATCGCCAAATCAATCTATGGGTACTACGCACTAATGTTAGTGCGCCATTGCAATCCCGTATTATTAATCGTCTACACCGGGTACTGGCTGTATTGGTGAAGAGAGCGGTATCCGAACACTATCAGTCTGAAAATATGGATCACCAGAGGCCCTTTCTTCGTATCGTATATCAGCGATAGTCAAAGTTTAACTGTAGAAAGAAAAGGGCCGGAAAACACGTTGACCTCAGAGAAGTCCCGACAGATAATGCCAGATTCGTCTGCAAGGAGAGATTTGATCACCGTCCGAAATTTCTTTCAATGTTCTCTTTGACGTGGTTGGTTATAGGGAGATTAGGAGCGGAACGGTTCGATCCTTAAACGGCATTTTACACATAGAAGGTGAAGATGCATGGCAAACGTAACTACGCTAACACTCAAACTATCGAGGAAAGCTTGTAAATTACTTGGATCTTTACTCAGTCATACGATTTCGTCTGGGTACTCTAGATAAGAGAACTTTCCGTCAAGAAGCACATCAGCACAAACAATCTTGCATTATGGTAGAACCAAGCCAATAAACAACATCAGCGGTGTTATTAACATCGATTGGTCACAAAGTAAATCTTAATTTTAAAAAATTGGGTATTCCCTTAGGTTTCCCAGCGCAGCGCATCGACAGCGGCAAGGTAAATGGAAGAGATGAACACGGAAACTGGAAGTTAAATGAAAATGAGTGCACAAGATTGGAACGGTTGTTGTGTTGTTAGCGAAACCAACCGAAAAATGACGCCCAAAACTTTCGGAGTCAAACACACCTGTTGGAATTGTGCCAAGGCTGAGCCCTCACTTCTTAATTAGACTCCCGTCAGTAGCCGACAATGCGCTGTATGTCTTGGCGATTAAACACCTGCAGAATGTAGCGTCGGTGCCTACTCGTCGTGTCCATGTATGCATTGACCGATGGCAGTGCGCCTGAAAACAAGGATGACTTTTACAAGGATCTTACTCAATTACTCCAGTGTTCGGACAATGGACATCGCAGTGATCACTGGAGACTTCAGTGCTCAAGTGGGATACTTGAAGGAATTCGAAATGTGCCTAGGCGGCACAAAATCAATCCCAGCCAACCGGACAGACAACGGAGATCGCCTACTTCGAATCTGTGCGGAACACAAAGTATTTCTATCGAGCACCAACTTCTCCCACAACAAACGACAGTCTTCCATGGAAATCCCCATGATCTTCACAACCATGGATTCAAATGGACCAATTCGCCATTAGCTACCGCTGGCGGGATCCACTGAAGACCGCCGCTCTCAATGGCCAACACCCGTGGACCATGTTCTGTGACCAGTGGGATTCTCTATACATCTTAAAAATGTTCATAACAAAGCCCGGGTTCACCACGGAAAGCAGTGCTTATTATTGTCGCCCTCTTTTTCTCGTTTGCTATTTAACGTCCTTGTAAATCTGACTAAGGAAACGGCCCTGTCCTAGTGCGAAGATGGCGGCATCAATTTGCTCCCAGATAGCAGACTGTCTGGTCTGGACTATGCCAAGTGAAGATCCAGGTAAGTTGCAAGCATTTATCGATAGTTTGAGCGCCATGTTCAGCATGCGTTTTGCACCTTCAAAGTGTAAAATGCTGCTACAAAACTGGGTTGGTCAAGTTCCCAATCTCAATGCTAGCTAGAGAAGTAATAGAGGTAGTGAACAAATCTGGCTATCTGGGCAGCTACATATCACCCGGCAGAATCATAACCGATGAAGTGTCGGCACGTATACAGAAGTCTCGATTGCTATTTGACCACTTGGGAAATTTGTGACGCCATTGCGACATCCGGTTGTCTATGAAAGGTCGAGCGTATAATACAACAGTTCAGCCAGTTCTGCCATACGGTGCAGAGACTTAGCTAATACTGTATCAGGATTAAGAAAGACTGTCGGTGTTTGAATACCGCTGTCTAAGTAGNNNTTTATAACACATTCTGTGTGATAGGCAGCCGAAGGGGTAAATCCCATAGTCACGTAGACCGATTCTTCACTGATGGAAATCGGCAACCTAAGCCCCGGGGCCTGGAGTGGCGAGCCACATAAGGCCCCACTCGGTTAGGTGTGGTATTGAACCGGACGACAGCAAAGCTGCTTACCACCAAAATTGGGTAGCGGTAGTGGGGCTTGAACCTCGGACCGTAGGGTGGGAATTACACCAGTGACAGCGACTAAACCACTGCGCCACCACCCCGGTGGGAAAACCGGACAATGCTGAGATTAGGTTCAGAGTTTTAGGTGAGAGTGGCTGGGATACATGCTAGCCATGTCACCAAATAGATTGCCATGGCGCAGATACTTGGTAGAAAAAAGTTAAGGCTGGTCAACCTGGAGTAAGGGTATGATAACCCAGACTTGCTCACGTTGGTTGCCTTAGGTTTCCCTGGTGATGGCATCGGGATCATTGTAGTCAGGTATTAGAGACACTGAGTGATTTAGCTGAGTGTCGTAAACAGTGGCGCTCGTGCATCTTCTCTATTTCTTCGTAACTTTAGTCCTTATGAACTCTGTTTTCACTCTGCCATTGATGTGAACATTCCAATCTTTCTGTTACTCCATCCAAATAGCGGAAAAAAAGGCGCACGAAAGTGATCAGTTAATAATTGTAAAAATGGAAATGAAACACCTGTCATGAAAAAGAAAGAACTCACTGGGTGTGGGACGATATACAGGTAGAATGGGTACCGAGGTAGGGGTTTGTACAGAAGCACTCCCAGGAGTTTGTAGTAGAGGCTCACCGCCCGACTGCACAATAGGAATAGACGGAACAGTTTCTATTGGGTGAGGTTCGTTATCATTTGAGACAGTCGTAGGATTTTCTGTGATCTCAGGTGACCCAGCATTCTTGGACGAAGAATCGCGAGATGGATGTCCCGAAGTCAACTGTGTGATGACATCGCTAGCAGTTTTGGCCGGTGGTAAAACTACGGCATGTGGACCGTGGTCAAACGGACAACGGGAGCCAGCAACACAAACCCCGTGCTCCTCAATATTCCGACATCGCCGCTTTCGTTGGCCGTTCTCTCGCAGATCAGCTCGACCAGG